GGAAGGAAGGAAGGAAGGAAAAGAAGGAAGGAAGGAAGGAAGGAAGGAAGGAAGGAAGGAAGGAAGGAAGGAAGGGAGGGAGGGAGGGAGGGAGGGAGAGAAAGATTTTAATGGACAGAAGACTACTAGGAATTTAGGAACTAATCAAAAAACATTTTAAGTGCCATAGATGAGAAAGCCTCCTGTCAGTGCCTGGGCTGGACTGCACATAACTACAGCGGGGGAATCATTTCTCTTTCAACTCCCTTGCAATTTTTGTGTAAGGGAGATGTCTATCTATATACTTATTTCAGGGCCCAATATCACAGTGTATGAGCAGCTATCTGCAACACAAAAAACATCTCATATGGTTAGTCATATAATTTTCTTTTTTGCTCTCTTCAGGGCTGCTGGGGTCTGATTAAATTTTAGTTATGTGTTCCTTCCCCTTTCCCCCGCTGTCCCTCGTGCTGAGAGTATTTTCATTTCACATAACAGCAGCATCGACATGTCCCACATCCCGAGTGCCGTCGCAGCCTCTTATCCTCATGACAGTCTGCTGCAAGTGCAGACCCTTCCGAGGCACTGGGGAGCTCCCGGTCGGGATGACGGGAAGGCAGCTCTTCCTGCCGGAGCTCACTGCAATGCGGAGGGAGCTTGGTGGTGTGTCCCCTCTTCGTGTCCCTGCTTTGCTGGAGTCGGAGAGTTTATGAGTGTAGGAAATGAGGAAGAGATCAGTCTGCTTTGTTAACAGAATTAAAGGGCTGKTTTTGCCCGTAAACATCTGAATTGGCAGCTCCGGTTCGCTGCCACCTGAGGAGTCACACAGGCCCTGCCCTATGGGGGATCCAGAGGATCCACCCTCCCAGCCATGGAGACCAGAGGAGGCTGGAGCAGGGAGTCCCCCGCATGGCTCGGTGGCACCACAGCCCATGGCCACCTCGTGCCAGCCCTTGGCCAAGCGCCAGGGCAAGTCGGCCTCGCAGCGGCTGCAGAGGCAGCGCCGAGGCACGAGGGCGGCCTGGCCCGCGCTGAGGCACCAGCGAGCGGCCTGTCTGCACRTGGTGGCCGAGCGCCGCCTTCGAGGCCGCTCTCCCAAGGCTTGGCGAGCAGAGATGCAGTAGGGCTTGAGAGCCTGAATACATTAAAGGGATGCAGCAACTGGAAAGTGATGGTTTTACGGTCTTTGCTGCATGACCCTCAGTGTGTTTTGACATTGCGGATGGAGGAAACAAGCTAGGCGGAGCGTGGATGGGAATGCTTAGGAGCTTCGCCTCTGCTGCACCTCCGAGATTTTAAAGGAACTTCAGAGGCTTCAAGTCATTATTTGCCAATGGAATTGCCTGCTGATTTTGGAATCAGTCCAGTCTGCCTGTTTTTTACTAATGAAAATCCTGTAATTGCATATGAGAGCATAGATGTGGRAAAAAAAAAMMAAAAAMMARCAGAAACACGAAAGGATATTTACTATTGTCTCAGCAAGTAAAGCAACTTGCTTTCCAGTTGCCCACTGTTTACCCAGGAAATAAAGCTATGGATGTGAGTAGATTGGGAATGTGCAAGCAATTCCTTTTCAGTGAGGAATAGGGTTTATTAGGGGGAAAAAAAGCAAGAGGGCAGGAAACAAGTTCTTCCTGATCATCAAATGCCAGAGCATGTAGAGAAGCCAGCTATAGAGAAACCAGTGGCAAGTGTGTGGAGCAAGGGGCACGTCAAGGGCCTCCCTCTTGCTCCAAGGGAACTGCTCCTTCAGCTGGAAATCTCCAGCTCCTGGCCCTTCTGCATGGCTTCGCTGCCTGCCCATCAGCCACATTGGGCCCTGATGCCACGGACCAAACTCCCAAAGACCCACGAGATCTTTAAACTTGTGGTTTGGCAATTGAACAAAAAAAATAAGGAAAAAAAGAGGAAAACAAGCCTCTCTGAGCATCTGAGCCCGTTGTGTGATCCCTGTGATGAAAGTGCCCATTTCAGGGGAGTTTTGGCAGCAGTGCAGTGGAGATGAGAGCCGTCCCATCTCTTTTCAAAGTCTCTTTGTGGTGTTTGAAGGCAGTGTTTCTGCACCTTAGCAGGTGGCTGGCAGCCGGAAAGGGAGCGCGCGCGCGTTCTCGCTCCCATCCGATGGATGCTAGCAGCTYGCTTCCCACCCGGCTGCCCCGGCATGGAGGCTGCACAGGGAGCAGGGCACAGGCCAGCCCTGGGGGTCTCCGAGCCAGACACGTCGCGGGAGGGACAGAAAAATCCGCCTTGCTTGGTATTCCTGGAGCTCACGTCTGGCGCTCTAGGGAATTGCACAGTAGCAATTTCACAGTGAAATAATAATTTTGCGGTAAACATTCTGCAGTCCCCAGATCGCAAATGTTACGATTACCATATTATGAGTCTCTAGGGTAATGATTTGGCTTTTATGCATGAAGGTTGGATGGAGGCAGGAAAGACTCTTTTCAGGTTGTGTTTTCTGTGGTGCCACGAGGAGTCTCCTGTGCTTCCCTGTGGCCTGGGGTGGCCTCCAGGTTAGGAGAGCCAGTGTGAGATCCTGCAGCTCCAATCAGGCCAAACATCTCATGGAAGCTGAAAAATRTCCTGTTTCATACACCAGCTTGCTGGCCACGGCTCTGGGAGTGGTGGCCTGGTGTGCTGGACATGGGGCAACAGGAAGGAGAAGTCTCCCTGCTGTTCCTTCTGCACCATCTTGACTCCTGAGAAGAACCCTGTAAATCATAAGATGGTCCTCTCACAGCTATTTTTATACTTGATAATAATCACACTTTTCTCCTACTACAGAAAAGGTCCGATGTGTGGTTCACAGAACAGTTATATAACACAAATCTCACTCCCTCTTTTTTTTTTTTTTTTCCTAAGACAAACACCCTAGTTTACAAGAGGATGAGGTAAAAAGTAATAGGCAAAGGAGCTCAGATGTTGAGCTGAGACTCCACAATCAGACCCAATATTTAGATTTTTTCTTTGCCAAATCCACTGGTGGCTATTCAGGACGGAATAATAGTCACAGCAATGCAATATGTGCCCTATAATGAGACTCTCAGGAAAATTCTAGTTTAACAAATGAAGCAAATATAAAAAATTATCAGCTCTTGGGTAGAGTGAAGACCATGAATTTGTTGTTTCATTGCAAATTATCYGATGACAAGCTTTAAAAGAGTGCATTGTGCATTTCTGAGAGCAAATTGMAGTTTTTCCTTACAAAACAATAGGACAGTTCTGTGCAGAAGGGATCTCAGGGGGTCAACATCCTATTTGAAACCTGCAAGAACCTATAATTTAGCATAGATGCTTCAGTGATAGTCTCAAAATTGAATTCATGAGTCCCTTAAGAAAGACTAAGCAGCTGATGTTTGTTCAGAGAAGAATAAGTTTTGGAAACGTTTGCATTGAGATTTCTTAAAATTTTTCAGCTCTAGGGGTTGTGAGCATCTTCCTAATGGTTCAGCAGTTATGGAGCCTTTCTTCTTGCTTTCCTAAAACACAGTTTAACTTTGCTGCATAAACTTTGAATTTGGTTGTTACCCGTGCCTGGCTAGGCTCACATGGTTTGATAATATCTTGATGACTTATCCATCTCAGCCAACAAGGACATCTATGATGAGATGGATACAGATATGTGGGCTGTAGGAGTGTCCATGCAGTACAGCCGTTACATGACTATCCAAATGCACTACTTCTCTGTCTAAATCCAGAGCATTAACCCACTTGGATTTTTATAGTACCCTCCTACACCTCTTCCTCAAAAAAAAAAAAAGAAAAATTTAGGCAAATGCCAAGTGACAGGAATCATTTTATGTGGCTAGTTAGAGGTTGGGGGTTGCAGAGTGATGTGTGGTGAGCCTGTGCTCCTGCACTGCTGGAGCAGCATGGTGAAGAGCTGGAAGGGGAAAGGAGTCAAAGGGCTCAGAAAGGCACCAACAGGATGGGATCCTGGTTTACTATTCAGCTTTTATAACTTGATTGCTTTCCTTGCACTGAGCTGCTAGGAGTCTTAATGTTATTTGCCCAGTAACCCAGCACAGAGGAAGAGAACACAGAGCACCTCCTTCCTGGGGCGGATTCAAACCGTTGGATGCACATGTTTTCATTATTTCTTTCTGTTTTTCCTGCAAACACATCTAGGATACTTCCTAGACACATCTGTTCTCAGGTGCTTCTGAAAGAAATGAGAAAACTACATAATGCCAGCTTTTGTAAAAATGGAAAAACTAACAGTGAATCTATTAAACAACACTAAAAGTTATTTAAGAATCAAGGGCGGGAGGAATTATGGTGCAGAAAATAGGATCTATTATTTTCTGCTTCTGCCTCACTGTGTCCTTCCTTTCTTCCATTTTTTCTTTTTCTTTTTTTTTTTCTGTTTAGATGCCCTATATGATTGCTGCTTTTGCATTTCTGAGCTTTTCCTCCCCCACCTCCCCCACCATTCCTCATTTACCTTTTTGGATTCTGTGGCAGTCCATTTTGTCAGGCAGCTTAAACTGTGTACAACATTTAAAAATCATTTGTATGCAGGATGCAATCTATATGAATTAACTGGATCCTAAATATATCAAACCTAACATGAGCTTCAGGTTTGCAAAATTACATCTCTGCCTCTGCTGATCCATCTGCAAGTAGGTACCATATGTCAGTTACTTTATCAGGAAGCTTCAGGGGGATCCATTAGAGAGAGTCCACAGCATAATTAGAAAAGAGAACATTTGTTTTCCCAGCTGCCCTGTTTTCATCCTTCTTCTTCAAATGTTCTGTTGATTTCAATTAAGCTCACCATAGATGCGCCAGCTTGGCGAACCTGGGAACTAATTGCTTTAAAAGTTAATATCTTGCTTGCAATGTGGGTTTCCTTAGACTCGCTCAGCTCCAATCCYGAATTCCTCAAGCAGCGCTGACACAATATATTGCCTCGCTGTAGGGCCCTGCTGTGGTGTGCAGGCAAAGGGAACAGGTAGGTAGCAGAGAGCAGCTGAACCTCAGCAAGCTACGGGGATGGGTAAAGCCTGGATCATTTAGGAAGTTCTTCAATTGTGTCCCTGTGATTGCAGTGTCACATCCAACCCCACTAGTGTTCCTCAGTGGAGAAGGGGCAGACGTTGCCCCTCTTCACCTCTTGAACCATCTCACCTTCTCTATATGCCCTTCCTGGGCTTGCTGGCCCAGTGCCTGGCTCCAGAGCCAAGAGGCTGTCAGCACCGCATGACCCGGCGCAGTGCTTCCCAGCGGTGGCAGCTGCTGTCCCAACAACAGCAGAGCTACATTGGCATCTGGCTCTGCCCAGGCTCATCAGGTTTTCAGCTCACGGCTGTGATGGCATCGGGGGTTTCCATTTCGGCAGCTTGTTTGGTTGCAGGCAGCTCCCTGCGTCTCGTGGCAGTCCTGAACTCTGGGCCACACAGATGTCGTGCCGGGACACCAGGCTCTGCATTAAGCAGCTTGGTCAGTATTTCAGCATGGTTAGTATTTATCAGTTGTTTGCCCTCTCTTCATTTTATGCGAGGGGAAAAGTCCATACACAAAACATTTTATTTCATTAGGGAGTTCTTTTGTTTTCCTGTTTTCTTTTTAACTTTTTTTTTTTTCTTTCATACAGTCATTCTCTATTTACAGTGAAATAAGCAAGGGCAAAATATGCATCTATTTTTGGTGCACAAAGTAGCTCAGGGCCATCTTCAGCCAGGTTGCTTCCTGGTATGATGGGTGCACCATGAAGGCTAAACCCTGCTGGGCAGGGAACACACTGCTGAGAGCTGCATTGGCTTCTTCTGAAGGACTTAATTTCTGGATGCATGCAGGTGTTGGAAAGAWCTGCAGAGTTAAATCCTTCTGGAAAAGGATAGATTATAGGGAAGTCCCAGTGCTCATCCATACACATGCTGTGTATCCAAATTTGTAATCCAGAGTTAAATCCTTCTGGAAAAGGATAGATTATAGGGAAGTCCCAGTGCTCATCCATACACATGCTGTGTATCCAAACTTGTAATCCTTAGTGTATAAAGTGCCTTTCTGGCTGTGGAATATGCTTCAATACGAACAATTTTTTCCTGTGTTGTTCCTTCAATGATCTTAGGTATATTAAAAGAACTGCTCTTTCCATGCACTTTCTCCCACATCCATATTCCTGCCCAGTGTATCCATTACAGCTCTAGTGTGACATCCTGTAGAACAAGTTCAAATTCAGCATTGCTCTCTTGGGTCTGACTTTTATTGGATAAAACCTCATAGGAAGATTCATCTTTATGGATTGCCATGTCTGGATAGTTTAGCAGTGCATAGATACAGAGTGTCAGGAGTGCCTCCTTTTATTTAATTGAAGTTGATGGGTTTTAGCTGCCATTATTCAAGTTCTGTTCTTTTTCACTCCTTAGCATAATTACCTAAGGTTGGAGATCCACAAGGAAATAAGGGAGAAATGGTTCCTCTCCCCAGGGGAACCAATAGCTGTGACTAATAGTCATGGGTGCTTGTTAGCTACTTGGTGTTCATGTATTGCCTGCAAAGATACTAGAAATGAGCTATGATAGAAATATTGAAAAAAAAAAAAGGTTAATTACATGGGATCTAACACTTTAAAAATGAATTTTAAAAAGGATTCCAGGATATATTTCACAGAAATCATGATGAAGACAAGATTTCAGCTTCTTTCTAGAATCATCATGGTTGCTCTTTGCTTGCAACAGGTTGTCAGAGCAGTCCTCTACTGCTGATATAGTTTCCTCAAGCAACTCACAGCTGAATTATATGGAATGAGTGGAAATCAAATATTTATAGAATCATATTTCACTCCTTGCTTTGAGTTTGAGTGGAGAAGGGGGACCAAACAGTATAACTGACCTTGAAGAGATAATACAATGATAATACAGGTAATTCAGATAATACAATGTTGTGGGCCAGCAATAGAAACAGTCATAAGAAATTGAATTTCATTAAGAAGAAGTGTGAATATGATTAAAATTTCAGAGAGCTCTAGTAAACAGCAGAGTTTTGATGAAATAGTTCAGCTGGATATGGCAAGAAGAAGTACTAAAACTGGTGGTGTTAAGTGGCATGAAAGACATGCCTGTGATTGACCAGAGGGTTTGTGGATTTGACACTCATYGGGTAGTGCAAAGCTCTACACTAGATTTCAGCTGCTGTATGTGCTGAGAGTGCTGTGCTGCAGTGGGAAGGCTGGTTCTTGGACTTGCCCAAGATCCTAATTTAAAGTTAGTCCAGGTCTTTCTGCACTGGGTCTTCTGCATGTTGTCACTGGGGTGTTCTTACATCTCATGGTCTGTAAGGTAGAATCAGAGAGTCTCTTTGGAACTTAGGACCTTCAGGCTAAGCTCAAACATGCGAAGAGAGATGATTTCTGTCTTGGAGAGGGCTCTGTCCCATTTTTAAAGGAAGCATGATTTACAGGGAACCTTCCTAAGGAAGCAAAGGATGGAGGTAACAAAAAGGTGAGGTTGACCCAATTTTGACTTTTCTTCTCAATAATTCCCAAGGTTTTAAGTTTGTTTTTGAAAAAAAAAAAGAAAAAAGGAGGGGTTGTCTTTCTTTAGAGAGAGTCTTGCTGGATGGAACTCCTTAGGACACAGAGGATTGGGTACTTTCTGGAGTCTTCCCCAAACCAAACAGTTATGTCCTAGGTGGAGCAGACTCATGGACCTTATCCCCATGTTTACAAACATAGCATCATTATTTCTGAGAGAGAGAGATTTTATGTAAAACAAGTGCTTTCTTATAGTGTATGTTCTCTATGGYGAATAAAAACATATAAAATAATTTACTGGGTAGATCACTTCATCAATGACAGCCTGAGTGTATCTTGTGCCCATACTCTGATCTTCATGGCTTAAATGAGCAGGAAGATTCTCCTGGTATTTTGGAATAATTTCTCTCTCTGAAATCTTCAGCTCACTGTTGGAATAACTTTATTCCTCATTCCTTCTGCAGGCTATTGGACGCCCACACATGCCTGCCTACTGGTCTCTGGGATTTCAGCTCTCCCGATGGGGATATGGAAGCATTGACGTTTTAAAGGAAACAGTTGATCGCATGCACTACTATGATATCCCCTATGTAAGTATGAATTTTCACTGTATATGMTAATTTAAAGATCAAAAGTGAGATGAATAGAATTATAATAGGGGAAAAGTGATTATCCYTTGAAGAGAATTGTTGAATAAAAGGATATTCACAATCTTATGTAATGGTTTTGCATATAATATCTTTATAATCCTTAAAAGAATGTTTAAAGAAGGCTTTAGACGTGAGGTTTAAGTGTTGCTGTTGGTTCTATAGCATGTGATTCTAATATGGATTTACTGTTGTGCTGTGATGACAATGGGTTGTTATATGGTAGTAGGAGATGCTGATACTTTAAACACAAATTATGGCATTTCAAATATGTATCAATGCCAAAGAGTTACTATACTAGGGCTTGTACATTCCCCTTTTGTTCACTGTTGTTCATATACATTTGTAGGAGCTGAATTTGGCCCTGTACATGTTTACCACTGTTATAGTAATTTTTTTAGGCCTCATTTCATAGATTAGTTACCTTTTATAAACATAAACAAATGGAGTCTGATTCAGTGTAYAAAATACTCAAATGTTTACTTTAAAAATATGCAGGATGTTCAGCATTCCGACATTGATTACATGGAACGTCGTCTGGACTTCACCTATGACAAAGAAAATTACGCCGGTCTGCCAGAGTACATTAAGCATCTGAAGAAAGAAGGAATGCACTATGTCTTGATTCTGGTAAAATAATAATGTTGCTAATTATTTCTCCAATCCTAGGAACTCTTTACATCGTAGTGTTCATAGCAGTAGCTAGGTGCGAAAATGTGCATGCTGTTGTAATGGATTTTCCTCTTTTGTCATTTCTCTAGAAGATGGAAACCAACATCTCACAGGCGTCTCATTTAAATGTATTGCATTTTGTACAGTACCACCTCTATACCATAACATTTCTTTTCCTTTTTTTTCACTCCGTTCAGTAAAAACTGTGAAAAAAAAAATCTCTATTCCGCACTGTGCTGAGACAGAACTTTTTAATGTAGTTCTTCTTATGGAAATAAACAAAGGAGTTTAATATGCACATAGAAATAGCTGAGCAGTGAAGAAATTACTCATAATCAATTTGGAGAACTAGTTACTATAATTCATTTGGCCTTATATTTACTTTTCATCTATATTACTGCAAAAGAAATTTGCATGAAAATGTATGGAAAATGTATGCTGAACCTGTAGCCAAAACTGATGTCTGATGAAATCAATTAATTCGGGCAGAGGTGAAAATAGGAGCTTTCCTTCTTCCCTTGCCAATTTTTCCAAYGAAGATGAGTATTTCTCTCTAGCAAGTCCCCATACCTATCCTTGCACTGAAATTAGTTTTTGTCACAATAACTACAGTGAATGTAATTGTCGGCAAGGAAATTGGAAGCCGGTAAATTAAATAAAAGTCCTTGATAGATGCATAAGAAATTGCTCTATGCAGCTCAACAGCAGCACCAGAGGGATGGTATCCTCTGCTAAAGCCCTGGCAATAGCATGACCTTCCATTTCTTATACAGGAACATTCAACAGTGCTGAGACCTAGAGCAGGGTACACAGATGCTGAATGTTGCTGTAGACGAGAGAGACATAATTTGCTCTCCATAACCACTGGCAATAGGATAAAAAGTAATGTGCTTTAAATTGCAAGGAAAAAAAATAAGGCAGGCACTAGGATAAAGCTGTCTTTCTGCAAAGATAGTGAAGCATGGAGCAGACTGCCTGGGGAGCCTGGGGATCTCAGTTTGGCAGGGTTTGGCAAACAAATCACATACACCAGCATCCTGGACCATTCCAGCTAAGCTGATCTGCCCGGGGAAGGAGGAGGAGATGGCCCCTTGCTCTCCCTTCCGGGCCTTTGAACTGTAATTTCAGTCTTTTCCAGCCCAAATGGTCAGCTTACACCTCTCATTTGGGTGCTAGTCCTCTCATTTAACTGAAATTGCTAGTCTCTTGCCCTGCTGTTTTCTTTCTTGATATACTTATTTGAATAAGCATATTTTCACCTATTCTTTATTCTGCTAATCTAAACAAACCAAAGCACTTCCAGCTCTTTTTCTCAGGTAAGAGATTTCCTTGTTCAGTTTTCCTTGTAATGAAAATGTAATTTTCATTACAAGGAAACTGTAAATGTGCCCAGTTTCAATTCATTTTTCTGTATATTGATAATTGGATTTCACGGCACTCTAGACAGTGTCACCTCGGTGTTGAGAGAGGTTGAATAGCATAGTCCGAAATTATGGGAGGATTCCACCTTCACTAGTGGCCTTATAGCAAATGCTTACAGAAGTCAAGACAACCAACAGCTGTGGCAGTTGCCTTATCTAAAAATCACTTAATATTGTCTAATAGATAGAATTGTTTCCCTGTCCTTATATCTTTGTTGCAAAATTTTGCATATTACAGGATTGCGCTAATCAGTCTGTGGATACTATGAGGTTTTTTTTTCTCTAAATACCATTATTAGGTTTGCTTTTCATCAGTTATATGGGATGCTTTACATTTTTTTTTTGTAGTTTATTTAAGTGTACCTGCTCTGTATTTATTAATAACCTCATTTTACCTTATTGCACTATATCTGCGTTCACTCTTTTCAAACAAACCCATATAGCTCATGCGATCAATTATGCAATGCTAATGGAAATAGCAGCCTATATAATGAATACTGTTTGCCAGCAATTCGTTCCCTAAGGTATGTTCCCGTGAAAGACCCATTGCTTTTGCTGCTATAAATCATGAATAGTTCCAGGGTGAGCAGTGAAAACAGTTTCCAGCAGTGGAGCTCCCAGGCATGGTGTCTGAACAGACAGATTACTAGGTCATGCTGATGGAGAGCAACTTCAAAACAAAAAAATAGGGCAAAACTATGACCATACATCACTGTAAACAGCTAAGCATGATAGAGATGAGCGTATGCACACTCAGGACTAAGCATTTGTTCCAAGTCTTATGCAATTTGGGCTCCTGTATACTGAATACCTCCCAGAACTGTTCTAATCAGCTGGAGAGGGCTAGTGTTAACAATTATGTGCTTGCTTACACCTTAAAAAAAGGCTTGGAAGTCATGAACAGCAAAATACTGTGAGTTCACTATAGCTCTTTCTGTGTGAGTGCTTGTCCATCAATAAATACATGATAGTCACTTTTTCAGCACAGTTTAGGCATCGCCAATTGTCATTTGTAGGACAGATCCTAGAAGAAGGGCATTAGTCCTTTTGGTGACAGCGTCACTATGTCAGGACATCTGAGCTTTATCCTTTGCAATATAGTGCCCTGTCAGGGCTTAGAAAACATATTTTCAGCATTTTCCTTTCTAACCAATACTATGAGTAGTTAGGCTATAACAACAACAAATTTATCTTTCTAAGCTATTTGACAYAATCCCTTTCTGAGTCTGAATTTTCTTAGTGAAAAAGTGTGAAGAGAGAACGATGAAATATTACTGCATGTGCTTATTTGAGATATATTGTGAGTTTAACTCCAACAATAATTTAAAGCATTCTCAGGTTCTCAGACGGAGCATGGTCTAGTAGTGCAAAGATTTGTTGCTATATAAATCTAAATCCAATAGTTAGCCAAATACAAGAAACAGAGAAATTAACAGTTTTTCATTCATATAATAAGCTGTTAGGAACCTCTTTTTTTCCATCTATTCTACTAACCTGTAAGTAAGTATTGTGTTCAGCTCTAGCATTTTGGGTAAGTTTTAAAAGAGAACAAAAGTTGCTCCAGTTTGTCCTATGTTTTTGACAAGCTAATGGGAAAGATAGGCAGTGAAGTTTTCTGTGTTTTCTTTATTGCAATTACTGATATTTCTGTCAAATTTTGWTTGTTAGCATTCTTTAATGATGCAAATCATTCCCATAAATTCATTGAGGAGCTGGAATGGTATGAAGAGTTTCGTTACAAACCGAGAGCAAAGCCATGCTAACTGCAATCAAGGCAAGCAGAATCCTGTTTGATAACAACAGCAACAAAAATCCATTTAGATTCCTTCCTTTAGGGTAGGGATAATAATGAGTGCACTCTCCAAGTGCMTCAGATTGTTGCCTCCATTATGATTTCAGGAAATGTGCTCTAATTTCAGTCATTCAGCATCATGTAAATGCTCCTGTAAGCAGATTTGAGGGAGACAGATTCAGTMCTCTGCTTGGTGGGCATGCCACACCACTATGGTCAGAAACAAAATGTTGATCCTCAGAAGCAGCAGTGTTGACACCAGTAGATGGTGATTTGCCAAGCTGGGACCCTGCCCTCAGCTGTGGCACCACTGGTGGGTTGCTGGTGGGACACCGGGAGTGGACACCAAGGAGCCTAGTCCCTGCACCTGCATCAGGTGTGGAGACACCCCCATGCCTGTGGCCTCATTGCCACATTCCCCAAACATTGTCCCTCAACTCTCCTRTCTCTTTCAGAGACTGCCTCCATTGAAGGAAAATTTCATCTATTGATATCAGCACTCAGTCCTCAGCATTCTGCTAAATTGTGTTCATGCTTCCACTGTGACTTAGACTCTGAGTCAGAATAACTCAGAGTCTTTAGAAACAAAGAAAGAAGTTCTAAAAGTGACAACRATTACAATATAAAGCGGTAAACATTGTTGCTGAAAAGGAGCTTTAATGAAAACCTTGTATACCTTCCTTTTAATCACACTAAAATTAGAAACAGCTAGGAATGAAATGAGTGACAAATTACTTAAGAAAACTCAGTAGTAACATGCTCATGATTCAAAATAATGCTTGATAACTGTAACATTTTGCACTCCAGCTCTGTGGGTTGGAAAGGATAAAACTCCAGAGATAGATAGATTTTTACCTCTGTGTACCAAGAACTGTTGGGGTGGAAGCAGGCTGATTTGGAGACCATCTGGGTGCTCTCACTTTCAGGGCAGTCAGCTGGAGATAAGGATGCTCAGCACCTTCTCTCCAACAACTGCTAAAAAAATGTGATCAGGGAAAGAGTTAACAGACATAAATTCCACAAAAAAACAAGGAGGATGCAAAACTAGGGCTGGAACAGTTTTGTTCTCTTTAGGATGATGCTAACACTGCATAATGCATTAGATTCAGGTAACAGAATAACCTTTCAGTTGAAGGAAACCAGAAGTTTAGATTAGGAGTATCTAATTAAGTTGACTTCTTCCAGTCTTCATGTCCCTTGAGAACCATCTTTTCCATGATTATAAGATAATTATTGCAGATGGACAGTTTTCTCTTTTTCAGTGTTGAACTATTCAAGAAGTTAAACGGGTAATGGACACTTCTACTCCTTAATTACAGAGGAGATATTGCAGCTACATGGTTGTAGCTGAACTGATTTTGCATTTAAGGTAGGGATTTAGCAGGGACTTTTTATGCATAGAGTAATACACTTACCTTGCCAGAGCTGTTGCTCTGATGTTTTCAGAGGGTTTATAAGCAAACCAGGTAATTACTTTAAGTATTAAAATGAGCCTTAGTGAGAGCCCTTAAAAATTATCTTTGCGTCTGGTATTATTTATTCTGAAAAAAGTTTAGTACTTMAATTTATATTACCTCTTAATTAAAATTTACTTAAATTATTATACCAGCTCTAAGTGAATGAAGGAATTGTTTCAGGGGTATTTTTCTCTCCTGATAACTGAAAGTTTTTCTACCTTAAGCAAAACCTGAGAGAATMGCATTTTATAAAAGCAAAGAAATTCCTTTCTCTGAAGTGGCTACAGTTGTCCATTGCTCTAAATAACATGGAAATGCTCTCTCTTGAGGACATGCCATGGCACATGCTTTTGCTCCCAGTTGGATGCTAAGCACAGCTGAATATCCTCTCTTCCTTAAAGTATTCCCGTTCATTATTTATGGCATCCTAGTCCACCACCTTCAGTGAGAGCCCAGGAGGCTCCCGTTGAGCGAGCCCACAGGCATCCCGAGTGGATAATGGTGGCTGCAATCCTAGGAAGTTGGAAGGAGCAATGGGAGGTGGTTGCTGTCCAGGAGCATAATCCACGTCCCACCTTCAAGCTCTTTGAGATGTTTTTGGTACTGCAATATTGAGCTGGTTAAACCGAGGAGATTGAAATGAAGCTGTTCTTGAAAGAAATCCAGACCCAGGAAGGTGTGGGAATGCACAGGCCTGGCCAGTCCTCCTGCCAAGGGATGTCTTCAGAAGAGAAAAAAATGAAATCTACTGCTTTTTAAAAACAGTTCAACATAGAAAACCTAAAGTAAAAATGAACGTAAGACTTTTTAATAATTTCACTTAAATTTGCCTTTTCCAAGAAATACTCACAACACATCTTTAATGACTTTTCCTACATTTTAATGTACAATCAACTCTTATTAAATTTTAATGCTGTTTTTTCTTTTCCGGTACTATTGCAATCTACATTAAGAGCATCATCCAAATTGTTCTGGAATAGGCAATCAGAAAAACAGCTTTTTCCCTTGATATTTTGATAATGGAAATATGGTCACTCTTTTCAGGATCCTTTCATAAGCAAGGATGAAGAACCGGGTACTTACAGGCCTTATGATCTCGGAGAAGAAATGGGAGTCTGGGTGAATAATTCTGATGGTGTAACTCCTGCTGTTGGAAAGGTTAGTTTATTAAATTCACTTACAAATTTAGCTCAGTGGTTGTTCTAAGTGCTGAACATATTGTATAATAGAAAAGAGAAGGTAACTGGATGTTTATACCCGTAAACTCTAGGCCTGGCCTGATGGACATTCCGTGTTTCCTGACTACACTAACCCCAGGACAGTTGAGTGGTGGACTCAGATGTGTTTGGAGTTGAAGGATGTCCTCGACTACGACGGGATCTGGATTGTATGTTTAAGTATTCTTGCCTTCCCCCCTTTTAAAAAAACAGAAAATTCRTCTTTTGACATGTTTCTAATTCTTTATTAAAGGATATGAATGAACCATCCAATTTTGACAGAGGCCARTACCCTGGATGTGCTGTTAATGAGATCAATAACCCTCCTTACATTCCTAGTAAGTACAGTTAACTTGAAAACCTTTTTCTTAAAGGTGGGTAGGTTGTTTCCTAGAAAGGAAAAAAAGCTTTCATTTTCCATCCTTCCTTTCAGAGGTGTTCAGTTGTATACTATCTATGGCCTTGATTGTCTCAGCTTGATCTGAGTACCAAACATAAGAGACTTTCTTCAGCTGGTGCAGGGGCCCCTTGCAACAGGGCTAGAGAAATGGTCTTTCCTGCTGTTTTCCTGCTGTCTGCCCYAGAGTAAAGTGCAGCTTGTGAGGGTCTTTGGGACAGACCATTTCACCTGCCCATGATGTCTGTGGATGTGGCATCTCTCCATATTTCTAAAGAAAGGACAAGACAGTTGTTCTGTAAGTCAGACACAGATTTATTGACTGCCAGGGCTGGACAGTCTCTRATTTTTTACCATCCAATGAACGGAAAGCTGCATCTTCCTGAGAAGACTTTATTTYTATGTCTTTTTATCTTGCCAAGAAGTAATTTATATGTTAAAAGTAAATTATAGGCAAAAAATGTCTTTAAAAAGTCTGAAGACTATAGGAGACTAATAGAGATGGGCAGACTAATAGAGATTAACTATGAGACTAATACAGATAGAGATGGGCAGGTGGGAATCTCCTGCAGTAGCTGGATGAGTTAATGTCATACCTATTTCCCTCCCAAGAAGCTCTGAATACCTGCAGTCACTGCCAGTGCTCCTGACAGTAGATTCAGCTGACATTTCCCCAGGAAAAGCCTGCTGCTCTAGCAAGACTAATCTGCAGCACCAAGTTGATAAAAAGATGAGTTATTGACAGTGAAGCATTGGAAATGCTTTTTCCCTTCAGACTGTTGCATTGCCATGTGAATTCCTCATTTTATTTATTAAAATAAATAAAATTTCTCATCACAATGTCATTTCTCATCACAATGAATAGAAGGGACACAAATACATAATGTGAAATTATTGAAGGAATGTAAATTATTGAAACCAGAAACAGATTTTAATTTTGTTTCTGGTGTTTGGTCTCTTTGTGAAAGAGCTGTTGATCATAACTGCTCTGTACTGCCATACTGGTGCTGCAGGTCTTGATCAAATTGTCATTGACCCAAGTCCAGGAACTGATGGGACATTTCCAGCTTTTYTGTAAGTGTTCCTACATTTTTGCCRGTATTCAAAGCACCAAAAACAGCGTGAGGACAATGACCAAAGAGATCCCTCCACGCTCTCAAATGAAGGAGTGAGGACTGGACTCATAAAGGACTTCAGTGCTATGTAGCTGAGCCCTGTGGCACCTAATGTTGAATTAGAAGAATTGGATTTAGGGACCTAGATATCTGCATGATGTGTAAGGGCAGTGGGGAAYGTTGAAGTGTGTTTTGAACCTAGTTTCTCTGACTTGCCCTTCTTTAAAAAGGATGCACTTGCTTTTGCTTCTGACCCACAGCTCTGCAGATAGAGGTATTATGCATTTCYTCCGAAGGATGTGAGGAGTTTTTACTAAACTGAGCCTCTAAACTGAAGCTCAGTTTTTATTGAGTGCTTGAAGGCTTTTTCTTATACTCCACTTGCCCTGGCCCACCTGAGGCCCTTCACCAGCACAGGTTTGAGGTCGGAGCTAAACGGCTCAGTCCAACAGGATGTTGGGAGTTTTCCGGGATTGGCAGAATCTGGAGGATTSAACAAGTTGTTCACCTGCCTGAGTCTGTGCAAGTTCCACTTTCAGTGCTTAGGCTTTTTGGCAATGTAGCCTTCAGCCTCCTTATCTAAATCATGACCACAATAACTCAAACCCGTGGTTTATATTTCTAAAAACAAATGTCCTTCAAATCAATTTTCTATAGTATAYTTTGTACGGAAGATTAATATGCAGTTGTAAAATAAAGCAGTACTACTGAGACAGAATAAACAGTGTTCAGAATGAGCATGAAAATGTGATTCATATTTGGCAGCATCTTCTTTTATATTCCACCTTAATTTTATTGGGCTAATAATTAAGTGTCACTGGGGCATTAAATTTAACTTTCCTCAGAAGCTTAGTATCTTCCTCAAAGCTATAACCACCGATATGTCAGTCACAGGTACTTGGAAATTGCCTGTAAATTAAGTTATTTCAGATGCAGATCAGCCACACTGAGCTCTTTGTGTCTAAAGATGCAAGCAGGAGGATTCCAGCTTTGGTGGCAGGCATACTAATAAGGTTTCAGGTACCAAGGAATGCACTTTGTAGTAATGAACTGCAAACAGAGTACAGTGCAATTAGGCATTGAGATTGCTTGCTCACGGAGAAATGTTTTCAATAGAGTGTGCACCTAATTAAGCATTCAAAAGGAAAATATTCAAGAGCCTACCTTCCTTTTTTTTTTTTCCCTTTTGAGAGAGAGAGAGGATTTTATAACGTTTTCAACTCCCTCCCTATAAATGAACACTTTGTATAAACTGAGAGGCAGACTTGTCCAATTCCTGCTGAATTTCATGTAGCATTTTCAGGGAGGTTACATGCTGAGGAAGGGAATCACATTTTCTGCTCCGAACACGTTTTGCCARTGACTCCTTAACGTGGCGTCAAAGACGGGGCGGCCTCTGTGCAGCTGATTCGAGGCTCCTGGTGCTTCCCCCGGCTCTGCTAAATCGGGGCTGTCGGGAGGCACGAGGGCTGCGCTGCCCTTTGCTGAAGGCGAGAGGCTGCTGCTGTCCCCACCACCCTGCAGCACCCATGGAGGGCTTACTGCATGGGTGCCTGTGCCTCTAACATCTGTCCTTGCTCTCTTCCTCGTGGCATGCAGGGCTGGAGCAGATGACAACCCATGGATTGCTTCATCCAACGCTTTTCCGCCCCCTCAGCCCCGCTCAGGGCCAAGCCATTAGTCCTGCTGCCCATTCCGGGCAGAGCTGCCTTGGGGAAGAGCAGAGCGAGGCTAAAGTGTGCTGTGATCTCCAGCGTGCCCGTGGAGCTCTCCCGAATCCTGCAGCTCCGTGATGCGCAGAGCCAGGGCTCTGGGCTGCTTTCTGCCATGCGAGTTCCCTGAGCACCTCAATTTCTACTCGCTTTTTCCCCTCTTGGCATGACTTAGCTATTAAGAAACATTTGTCACTMGAGAAAATAATATGTAGGAATATTCTTAACTCCATAATTTAGTATTTTTCTTTCTGACTATTGCTTTTTGGATATAAGATACCAGTACAGATATTGTGGTTTATTGAACAAAAAAGACTTTGAAATTCTTTAATATTATTTACTGTTTTCTCACTCTCCTGAGCAAATATGTGCTTGCAGAGGGCATTCATTGCTACTTATTAGGCTCCAATCAGTATATATGCTGTGGTTCTCCAGCTTTTCCTCTTTAGAAACCCTTTGATGTTTCCCCTCCTTAATTAGTAGAAATAGGAAGAGATTTGTCCTGCAACATATATGATCTTGCTGCATTTCATATTGTTCTCAGGCATTTCTGATCGCGCCCTGGCTCAAAAGACTTTGTGTCCTGATTCCAAGACGTACCTGGGAGACCATTATAACACTCACTCTCTCTTTGGCTGGTCACAGACTGCACCAACTTTCCAGTAAGATTTCTAAGCATTTCTAAGCAGATTTCAGGTTATTGAGATGTATTTGAAAGCAGATGACGTTTTAAGGGACGTCAGTGATAATATCAAATTAGGAACAACCACATACTTCATTTTTTTTGCATGTTTAGTAGAATAACTTCAGGAAAACAGAGCTGTGGCAGAAGAAATAGATTTCTTCTCAATTTATGCTACTTGGCTAAAATCAAGGTCCCCTTATTCTTCCAGGGTGGCTTGTGTAGGACACATCAAGGTGTTTGGTGCCTTTTGTTGGGGCTGCTCACGTGCATGTGGGGCACAACTAGTCCTCACGTGCCATGAGGGACCTTTTTTCTGTGACTCCGTTACCGTCGTCCAAGCCGGGGAGTCTGTATTATTGGAGGTGAAGGACCGGAATGGCCTAACTCCCCATGGATGYTGTGGAGCTGCTGCAGGTTCCTGGCAGACAGCGCTCTGTGTTTTGGCCTGGGGCTCTGCCAGGCCCAGGGGACCAGGTGCCCTTGCTGCTGGCTACTGTAAAACTGTCATTTTGCAGCTGGGGAGCCCTCCAAACCAGCCTGCTCAAACAGGCTCTGCGGCTGTGAAGCCAGAGTGGCAGCGAAACCTGGCAATTGGATTAAATCCGGTGGGTAAATCATGCATTTTGCAGCAGAGCCTGAGCTGAAACATGGATATGTTTAATAGCTCAATGAAAGCGCCGAAGGAGAGGTCTTGTGCCAGCTCCTTCCAGTATGCCACACTCCTCTCCACTCGCTGCAGCGTGCTGCCTCCAGAGGACATGGCCACGTGTACCTATTTAAGGTGTTGATGCACCTTCTAAATGCCAAGGCTGGAGCAAGGAAAACTTGATTGCAGAGCAGCTTGCCAGCACTTGTACATCTGGCTGGAGCACAGCCCAGCTTCCAAGAGCAGGAGCCGAAAGGTCTCTGCTCCCAAAAGCTCCCTGGCCACCAGCCCAGCTAGGGCCTAAGCCAAGARTCAAAGGTGAATTTTCCAATGTCACAGCACCAGTGCAAATAACCACAAGGTCATACTTGGAGGGCAAGGTGACAGCTGGCCGTGGTCTTTAGGCTACATGATCCCGCTCTTTTCAGATTCAGCATCCTCCCCCAGGTCAATGGATCTTTCCTACCCACTCCCGGGGCACTGACTGGTGGCGACATTTCCATGGACATTTTTTCACATGTATTCATTGGATTTTCTCAAACACATTTCTTTGCAAGGTTGTTTGTATGCTCTTTCTGCGTTTGCTCTTCACAAATAATGCAGTAAATGAAATTACTGGCAGGAATATTTAGTGAACCAGCATCAATTGTAGGATGTTGGCTGAAAATGAATGACAAGTTCATAATYGCATAAAAGGCAATTTGACAATTTGAAGAATTATGCTAATGCATCCAGGGAATAGAAAATGTGTCATCTGACCCAAGTATGCAGTCAAATGGCAAGGACTGGGGTACAGGAAACCAGCAACAATCAACTTACACAGAGCAGAACGCCAAGAATTATTCACATGTGATATTCTGTGAATAATTTCAATCAACAAATAGATTTGAGAATACTTGGACCTGTTCAACAATGATGCACAATAGACTAAAAGTTATTCAATATATCTTTTGTTTTTCCTACAAATTGCTTTCCCAGCTCTGGATCATAGTTTTCCAACGTTGTCCTTGTGAACACCTGCATTTGTAAACAGAGCCAAATGTTTGTCCTGCCTCGATGGAGGAGAGGACTCACACAGGACACTGAGGAAAAAGTTCAAAGAAAAGACATTCCTGTCCTTGTAGTGCTCCCAAACACCATTTCTAGAAGGAAATTGGACCTCAAATGGTCTTTATAGAGCCAGATGGTCTCCTACCACAGGATGACACAAACAAACTGGTCCCTGTGTATTTCGGAAACTGGACCTCTGGGCATAGGTGACCCATAAGCTTGAAGTATATCAGCTCTTATGAAAGCTGGTGGGTTTCTTTGCTTTGGAAGTAAATGTTGAAGTGCTTCAAAGGCTCTGTGCCATTACAGAGCTATCACTAAATATTGATTATTGTGAATATGAATGAAGGAGCTCTTGAACAGATCCTGATAAGGCTGAGAGACAGGAGGTGGGTGGTGAAAAATGTGATTAATATTTCAGGTTAGAATTTCCTAGAGAACCTAAGTGGTTTGGTTGCTCATATCTTGCTGAAGTGGAGTAGAATYGGAGCTCCTGATGTTTTCTGGCTGGTATTCCACTCCTGGTAGGCAAAGTTTCAGTTGAATCTTGGATACTTAAATAGAACATTGTAATATGTAATCTTGTATGAAGATCATGCTATGTTGAGAAACTCTGTAACAGATTTGTCAGTAGGACATATTCTGTTTCTTCTGTTTATTGGTGGTATAACRTTATTTTCAAAAAGCGAGGAAAAAATCATTACACTACTAAGTCTAAAAAGAAACTTCATATACCAGAAGATGACAGAAGATCAGAAGGAATCCTAAAAGGATGGGCTGATGGTTTGAAAAATGTTTTGCATTCTAAGTTGATTCGAAACCTCTTATTTAACTTCTTTTTTTTTTTTTTAACTTGTTAACTTTTTAAACTTTAATTAGCTGATATTAAGATTTTATTTTCCTGTACCTAGCTCTAAAAATATCCCATTCTGACAAGAATTATTAATTGTACTTTTTTTTTAGGAAACAGGAGGACACTAAATTAAATGTGCTAATAAATGAATAAATTAAGTGCAAATTAGTTTTTAGAGAACATTTTTTTCCATGAATCAGCAGATTTTAGGTTTTTTTACATGAAAACCCTCACTCACCCTTACCTATGTGAAATAAGACTTTCCACTACTTGCATTTGTGTTCTCTTTCTACATGATTCAAGATGACTGTGGACCACAACAATAATTGTTTCAAAAATAACGTCGCCTCAGTAAAATTGTGTCTGAAGTCTCAGGTTTGTGATGTGACCTTTTTTTTGGTTCCTGACCCTCTCTCTAATGCTCTTGTTGCTGTTTTTTTTCCCAGTGCTGCCCAGAAAGCTACTGGAAAGCGAGCGTTTGTCTTAAGCCGGTCTACGTTCGTTGGGAGTGGGAAACACGGGGGTCACTGGCTTGGGGACAACTTTTCACAGTGGAAAGACATGCACCAGTCAATCATCGGAATTCTGGAATTTAACCTCTTTGGGATTCCCTATGTAAGTCTAAAGTCCTTCAGGCAGTTGCTGGCCAATATGCAGTGTTGCTTCAAATTAACTCATATGTTTTCTGAAATAAGCTGCTTGAGATGACCAGCGGTCACAGCTCTGCATAGCACAGGGAGCTCCAGATTTTTTAAAAAACCAAAAAGCTAAATGGCATCAATCACAGCTAACTAAACAGAAACAAAAATAACAGTGTTAGATTCAGATTAAATAAGTGCTTGCTACCCCAAGCAGATGCCTTATAACATATGTTTTATCACAGAGATCCCTCTCTGTATTTCTATTTCTGCAATCTGGACTACACAAACAGTAAACCTGCTGAAATACAATCAGAGTTTTCACAGTGATTCTAATGCCCAAGAAGCTAGTGAAATATAAGTCCCTGCAAAATTCCTATCATTACCTTATAGCACATTCTTATAAAGTTGTCAACAATAAGAATCTCTTTCCTAAAGTGATTTTATTAATAAACCTCTGCAGTTTTTTATGTCTGGGTCCTGGTGAGAGCCACAAACACTTATCCAAAGGTATTTTTTCCKCAGGTTGGTGCTGATATCTGTGGGTTTAATTCTGACACTACCTATGAACTCTGTCTGCGCTGGATGCAGCTTGGCTCTTTCTATCCATTTTCCAGAAACCACAATGCAGAGGGAAACAGTGTAAGTAAAYACAGTTACACAAAGCTGTAGCCTATGGTTACAGTATTTATGATAGTGATCTGTATTATGCTCTCAGAAACCAGCTGGGCTTTCTCAGGTGAGCTTGAGTAGGTGGAGTGCTTTAAGAGGGAGTGCTTTAAGCAGGAATTTCACAGCAAGGTCTAACTTTCACCATCCGTAATGTAAGCATTGAATGGGAACTCTGAAAAATATATAATCTCTAACATCTGAAAGTTGGGTAGAAATATGTGCTGTGTATTTTGAATGACAGAAAATGGTCTGTACAGGCTGTTGATAAGAGTCATCCCATCTTCTTATTCACTTGCTAACTTCAATTTTTGTTTCATTACTTCTCTAGCTTTAATATGTATCACAAGAAAGAGGAGAGAGGGATAGCATTATACACCATCTTTGCTCATTAAAAGTAGGTTTCAGACAAACATCCCAGTTAGAAACCTGAAACAAACCTGTGAGAATGCCAAGGACAGCTGGCAATAGCACCAGCCTTGTCAGCCAAGAAGMAGCAAAAACTCATAAAAGCTTCTGATCTCAGGAGATGGATGAAAAAAATGTGGTCTCCATATCCATGCCTTGACTTCAGCTTGCCATGAAGTCCCTCTGAGACTCATCTCAAACAGAGAAAAACGTCCCATTGTTTCTAACAATGAGATTTGAAGGTCTTGGAGCCTTTGTGAGTGCAGTGTTTGGCTGCAGTCATGCAGAAATGGTTCTGCTGGTTCAGTAACTCTTTTTCTTTTCTTTTGAAAACTCATCTGTGCAATGCTCAGTTCATTAGCTCTTTTTCACTTTTCTTTGAAGTTGGGTTATCAGAGATATGGCAACATTTACACTACCCCRAAAGACCTTCTTCTCTGCATGAAATTAGGATGTAAATTCAGAAACTGGGCAAATGTTTGAACAACCAGCTATAGCGTTGGCATTAAGAGGGTCTGAATTTACCCTGTAGTCTGCAATAAAACCTGAAATATGCTGGTATTTCTTTTTTGCCGAAGACCTATCTGCGGGGTGTTAGCTGCTGTCATTGATAAATATTTCACATTTGCCTGTGTTCACTAAAATTAGAGATGACTTATCTATGTAGGTTCATTTGGTCCTTTGGGCCTACAAATAGGACCTGACCAAGTGAGTGGATATTAATCACCTATGCACAATTTAATAGGCATAACTAAGCAGGTAAAGAGCAGTTGGTCTTGTTGAGGGGAGCTACAATTCAGCATGAGTGAATGACAGGTGTAATAGAAGATATATTTCCGTTATTGAATGACTTAAATCCATTTAAAACRTTGTACTCACTGAAAGAAATGAAGAGGGTGTTTTGGCTGACTCCCTTAAGAAGTCTGACCATTTTTTTCTGTATTTTTTTCTGAAATTGGGTAGTATTTGTGCAGTGTTAAAATTAAAGGGATAAAAAGATAGTACAATTTTTGAAGTAATACGTGGATGCTTCTGAGGTCGAAATCATGAGGAAGTTATCACTGTAATTCTGATGTAAAAACAATRAGGGGGAAATTTAAACTAAATATTGAATTTAATTAAAATTACGCTTGATATTAAAATAAAATCTTAAATATGCACTTTCTCTAATCCACTGGGGATCCTGAATGGTTTAATTACACCTTTTTTTTGTGTGAAAAGCACTAGATAATATAGAAAGCTTTGTTACTTCTGTTCCTTTTAAGTTTCATTATCCTTGGAATTCCTCCCACATTCTTCAACTTTAATGAGAAAAGTGAGTGTCGTGGGAGCATTTTGTTTTGAAGGCAAAAGGGAGCTGTGTGACTTGGTAGCTGACTTAATGTCAAGTTGGAGAAGCTTGGGCAGGAGGGACTGAAGAACACGTAGGGCTTTCCCATGCCAGCCTGCCCGGGGCTGTGTTCTCCATGTCCTGTTGTAGGGGAGAGCCACATTTGTCCTAAAAGTAGACCAGAATGGCCCAGTAAGCAGAATCAGATTTATTAAATCATGGGCTACAGAGCTTTGGTGTCTCCTCCTGGATGCTTTGTACACAGCCATGTCCCAAAGTGCCTGGATGTGGATGAGAAGTTGAACTTTGGTTTCTTAATCCCCACAAAATGTTTTTCCCCTGACTTGCAGCCTCTTCATTCAAACCAACTAACTTCAGTGGAACCATGAATTTACCATTACTTTTCAAATAGATTGGCTTTTATCTTCCTGACCAATATTAATAGGCTTTGTCCTTTGCTTTGCGAAACATTAGTCATCCCTTTTTCTCCTTGTGTTTCTCCTTCTTGGGCACCTCAAAGACAACATGATTGCTCCACACACGGTGTCCTATTCCCACAGGTGGGATTGCCCAGCTCCCTCATGGTGACGATGTCAGGGGAAGGTGGAAGMGGTTGGAAAGATTCAATCAAATGTTAGTTTGGTGACAGTGGACATGGTTCTTACCAACTTGCAAGCTCAGAGTCGCAGTATTTCTTGTTCTGCAAACATTCACCTTTGTAGGATTAYGTCAGGATAATCATTCACTTTTGAAGGATTATGCGGCTTTCCTTAGGTCACTTCCAGATCAATTGTTGAACTTGCAGGCCATGGTTATCATGCTTGGTACAAATCCATGCTTTCCATGAACAGGCGCAAGACCCAGCAGTGTTTGGAGCAGAGTTTGCTAAGATATCTCGAGACACGCTTCGGATCAGATACTCGCTGCTGCCGTATTTGTACACCTTATTCTATGAGTCTCATGTTCATGGCAACACAGTGGCACGGTCCCTGATGCACGAGTAAGTTATGAGTCTCTTTCTTGTCATATTTTACTCACAAAAGTATTTCAGGCTCTGTATATGAACTAGTTGATATTCGGTAATAGTAATATTATGCACAGTCTATCCTAACATGCACAGTTTTACAGTGAGATCTAATCAAATTATTTATATACAATGCAGAATATCCTTTGAATATATACAATGTCTTTTCAATAAAATAGAGCCTAAATTTGTTGCTCATGACAAAAAGAGCTAAGTAATAAGATTTCTGAAAATTTCTTCTCTTAGGCAAATACGTAGTCCTTATTTATTTTAAAATTAGGAGGCATATTTRTGTGTTTTCTGTATTGGAATTAAATCCATGAAATCTGTATTCTGGTACTGAATACCAAGAAGGTCTCACACAGAGCAGGCTCCATTTTCCAATCATCCACAGCATTTGCATTTTCCAATTTAGCACTTGCATCTGCATGCTGTCTATGAAACCTACATCTGTGTCCACAAATTGCACAGAGAAAATAGAGATTGAGATGTTCGAGTGTAGAAGCAGGTGCAAAGATAAAATTAATAAATACAGACTGAAAAATATGACCCTCAGATTTCTGAAACAGGCCATTTTCTCTTTTTGGAAGAGGCACGAATTAAAGYCAAGCTTAGTTTTGCTCCCAGCATCTTTTAAATAACATTTTACCTGCTTTAGGTAAATCTTCTATTTCTGTAGGCTTTATGCAAAAAYTTGAGAAAAAGTGCAAATAATACCTATAAAAAGCTACTGCCCTAAAGCTCTGACACAATTTGGTCTCATTGGTATGGGCTATGCCCTGGACTTTTGACTATTTAATGTTCTTTTCCCCTTTTGGGTTAAGAACATTTAGTTTAAAGGGTAAGGCATTTTTTATGAATTAAGCTGAGATTAAACTAAAGTGCAGAACATCGTAATATGGAATGGATATGCATAAAATCTATTTTGCCTACTCAGTGTAATAGCTAGCTGATTAATTTTAAAAGCAGTAACCTTCCCCTTCATATTCCATTACCTTATTTAACTGTGTAACAKTTAGGGGAAGCTTCATGGGTGCTCATTTCTTACCAGGGGTTTTATGCCATTCCAAGTATTTATTTTAGCAGCGATTTTGCTTAATGAGATTTGTGTTAATATCAGAAATGACTGAGTTCATTTTTGCATTAATGCTGGCTAATCTCTGCTAATACAGAATCACTTCAGTGATAGCAAGGCTACGTTTCTCTCCATCCCCAATATGGTTCTTTTGTAGTCAATTTGGGCACATTAGCTACATTAGCAAATTTCCTGATCCTCTCCACTTTGCAGAGCTTTCATTCGGATCATAGAGCAGCCGCAGATGCAGCAGCTGAACTTCTGCCAGGGAAAAGCCAGGCACAAGGTGCACTCCAGCCATTAATGGGAGTTTGGTCTGTGGGACCAGATCAGAATTATTAGCAGTAAAATATCTAAAATGCAGGCATTTTAGTGCAGACATCAGGAGATCAGCACCAACTATTTTATTAGCCAGATGCCATCCTAGTGGGCTAYGTCACCTGCTGATGTTGCCTTAGCTAAATTGCATAAATCCTAAAATTGCTTCAAAATATTTCTTACTGTTATTGCTTAATTCTGAGGACTATTATTACTTAATAAATATTTTATATTATTTCTAAGTAGCAGCTATTTCTCTAGTGGATTAGCTGCAGTAAAGAAAATGACCTAGATGCTAGTAGAAACAGAAATGTGGATTTGAGAGAAGGGAAACAATTGGGAGGATGTGGATGATAGAATTTTACATCAAGTTTTTCTCTTCCTCATAAGGAACAGAAGGGAGAACTGAAAAACTGCAATGGGTTTTCAGGAAGAGCTCTTGTTCCTTCACAAACGTCACTCTGAAAACCTCTCTGTATGAGCAGGGAAGCCTCAGGCAGTAGCTATTTCCTGTGGTCATTTCAAATCTTTCATTTTATTTCAAATTTTTCATTTGATTTTGAGTTTCAACTAACACACAGCAACTGCATCCCAGCAGATTCCTAGGTGAGGCATTGACTGAGTGAGACTCTATCCAAAATGCACTTGAGGTGACAGTCCACAAAGCAAAGAAAAGAAAGAGGGACCTAGCACAGAAAGCACATAGGTAAAATCTTGGGTATTTGTAGATCACAGATATGATGAGCTTAATGGCTTATATTCTCAAAATGGGGAAGTTCATTTGTTTGCTGAATCTGTACTCATGGTTGCTATAATTACCAGAGAAAGCAGCGTTTAATTAGACAGCTAGCTGCTTGTTTCCAGGTGCAAATGAGATGCTCGACTTTTCTTTTCTCATCTTTTCTTGATCAGCTTGTTCTCTCTAAATCTCCCGTGACCTCGTAAATTGTAACAACCTTGTAATTTTATTACAGGTAAATTAACAATATAGAAAAGTAGTTGAAATAGCAGAGAAACTTCATGTATTTTATTTCAAAAACTTTAAGAGTGTAATTCAGCAAACAAGAAAACCCACTTTAAATATTTACAAAAATCTTACACTGAAATGCAGGAATGTCCAAAATCGTGGTGTCCAGAAGAGCTACTGTTCATTCCGGGGAAAGGAAACCGTTTTTATCAAAGTTTCTTTCAGGCAGAGTATCCCTTCAGGAACCTTTTATTGGAAGTTCAATCTATTTCCCTAAACTTGCATTATTTTAGAAATTAGAATACAGAATATGTCTTTTTTTGTTGTTGTTGCTATTAACTATCATATTTTATTTTTTTGTGTGTTCAGGGTAGTTTCTGTAAGCCTGGGTTTGCTCAGGCCTGGTGCAAGGGAACTGTAGCACTGAGCACGGAGCTGCCAGGCAGGTGCTCCCTTCAACATGCAACCTGTCTCCAGAGGGGCACCAGCAAAGCACAAGCAGCCTCATTTCAATATACACCGAGAATAAATCAGTAAACAAATAATTTGCATCTCCTTAGAGAGTAATAACTTAATACGAAGCAGCCAGTGAGAAAATGTCAAAAACAAGCCCTGTTTCCTTCTTGGACAAGGACATGGAGCTATCGGATGGGAAAGAGAGTGGAGGAGCAGGATGGATAGCAGGGAGTGATAATACATGTTAGCTTTAAGAGGGCTTGTGGAAGTGCTCCACGTGATGCTAATAAGTCACCTAGGAAATCGTGATTCAGATGTATTTGCTTCAAGATAGAGTCACAAATGATTGAAAGCCCGTTTAAATTCTCAAGGATTTTATGCCAGATGAATGGAAGTTCCTGAGAGGAGGGAGGATTCATTTGTTTTCCCCTGGTGTTGTTGAATATTTTTAGTTAGTGACACATGATGGAACAGAAAGCACTTCCCAAGCTGGCTGATGACCCCAGGCAAAAGGGCTTGTAAACACTCTGGAGGACATGATYGGCATCCAAAGTGGTCTTAATGTGTTGAATAAAATGGACTGAAAGCCTATGATGCCATTCAGGACGAGCACAGCGCTTAGGAGGATTGCTCTGTGCTTGTCCTGCAAAGGATTTTGAATGTGAATCTGCAGATGGGGCAGGAAGCTGGAAGCTGAATCCAGGGCTCCCTGTGTGCATTACATTTCTGCAACCCTGCTCGCTTTGTACTCCCCTAATCTGACCCACGTGCCCTTTTGCCAGCCTCATGCCAGCCTTTCCTGRCAGGTTTTTCTATATCCCGGGTGAGGTCTCCAACTGCTGCACAGCAGTTTAGTTACCTGTTGTCCCCACCATAGCTATTTTGCAAAGAAATCAGCTACAGCATTTTTGTCAGCTACAGTCTAAGTTGTCACCGTATTTAATTTCTTGATCTCTATCCAGCTTTGAACATTCCTTCAGCCTGGCAAAATATTTGGCTTTATTGGAGGATATATTGAAGAAGCAGATTTCTTGTAGCAGTGAGTAATATCCAAATATTCTCTAGGTTTTATAAAAATATGAATTAATATTGCTTTTCTCTCTTTCAATGCTAGATTTACCTCTGATCAGGAGACTCATGGAATAGATAGAGCCTTCCTTTGGGGATCTGCTTTTATGATTGCTCCAGTTCTTCAAGAGGCAAGTACTGTAATTAAAAAATGTTATCCTACTAGAAGAAAAGAAAGGAACCGTGCTCAGGCTTGACATTCAGGGATGGCATTCAGGACGTGTGCTCATATCTGCCCATCTCTTCCCTCTGCTGTCAAAGCCTGCAGAACACATTTTAAGAAAAGCTTTAGTTGTACCAGAAGTATGGAGATGCCCAGTGCTTGAAGTGGAAGGGTGAAAGCAAGGACATGGCTTTTTCTTGCTTCTTCCAGCACTCAGTGGATGTAGACAGGCTGTTTGTTCCCCATGATGCTGGGAATACCTGCGTGTGCTGTAGCCTGGTGCTGTTGGCCACCATCATGCTGCTGGAAGAGCTGCTGTATTTTTTTTTATTAGTTGTTAAGCATCTAATGAGAATTAGAGAGGGCAAATGTGGGTTCTGSAGGACAGTTCCACCTTTCCAGACACATCCAGTGCTGCATACTATGGAAGGCAGGACAAGATGCACTTTCAGTTTAGCAAATCCTGTATTTTAACTGGAGTTTCACATGCATTAATAAGTCATCTGTTTCTCAGTCCTTCTATAGGTTAAGATTATGCTTTAAAAAAAAMCTTAAAATGTCAAATGTAGACTACACACCTAGATCCAATGTGTAGCCACTGACCACCAATTGTCAGATTTCTATAGATTTCCCCAGTCTTCAGAAAAATATGTGGATTGAATATAAATATTTCATGACCTGTGTGTTCAAATATCTGTATGGGATACGTGGCCTGCTTTGTATACAGTACAGTCTTGAAAGCTTACGTGTCTGTATCTTCACAGGAATGTCATGGTCTGGAATGTTTCTAGGAAAATAATGGGCCAGTATACTCAGACATAATGTTTTACCTGTTTGTCATTTACAAAGTAATCTGCAAGAAACTGTAATTACCTTGGTCATTTAAACGTTCCTTTAATTGATTTAAAGTCATTCATGCTTGTCAGAATGGTCTTAACACTGTTTAATATTATGAATAGGAAATCAAATTTTGCTTTAAAGGCCTCCGGGAATCTCTTTCCCTAAGAAAAGCCACAGTTCTCTGCTGGAGATAGAATAGGGGGAAAATGCCAGGCTCATCTCCTCTGCCTCTTGTTTTCAAACCCCATCTATTCCCTAGGGGCAAACCAAAACTCTGCAAAGGAGCAGACATCTATGCTGGGAGTCTAAATGAATCTGTATGTGAGAACAAGCAGCCCATTGTGACAAAAAAAAAGGAAATATAGCAACTCATTTGGACCAAAAAAAAGGAAATATATTTAGATTCCAACTATTCCCACAGTAATAAATTCAGAGTGCCTTTAATTTTGACTTTATCTCCGCAACCACATGATAAACTGCATGTTGCAAACCAAAATACAATAATCRTGCAATTATGTGTTTTGAATAACACTTTGCATTGTTGCAAAGAAAGCAAACATCTTTGTACACTCCCCACCAGACATGATTCTCTTCCTATCTCTGCAATAGGAACTGTGCAAGGGGAGCTGAGACGTGGTGGCTCGTGCTGCAGTTTCAGCCCACTCTGTTGTCTCATGTAAAGTCCTGCCTGAAGAGCTGCTGTTGTCATCAGTGCTGTTGCTCACATGCTAGAGGGGGGCACCTAAGACAGTTGCATTTGCCAGACTTAARAGTTATGCACTAGACTGAAATAGTCCTCTAATTCATTTAATTGCATGGAAGTGCAGTTTAAGAAAAAAGAAACAGAAGTATGATATGGTCATCTATTCAGCATTATAGATTAGGCAGCGATAGTGCATTGCCATGATAATATCTCAGCCTTAATATCCAAGATTTGATGTTGTTAGAATACTGAACATACATCTATCCGCACACAAATATAATAAAGCTAATGTAATATCAGAAATGTAAAAAGAAAGCAGACTTTAATCATTTTATAACAATTACAGGGAGCAAGATCTGTGGAGGTGTATTTCCCTGAAGCACCATGGTTTGACTACTACACGGTATGTATTATAAAAATTCACAGTTTCTCACATTTTTACATAATCTTCAATGTGACAATTCCAGCAAAATAACTTAGAGCCATGTTCAGCATTATTTTCACTTCAGCATCTGTGTTTAAGAAATCTAGAGCAGAAAAAGTGTACACCAGGCTAGCTGAGAGAGTAAATTACCCAGCTTTCAGTAGCATTTTATTCTATTTTTGGCATGTAGAGCTCTAAGACAGAGTGTGCTGAATTTCCAAGAGCAGGCTAGAAAATCAGGAAATGGATAAGCTTGCTTTCTTTTTTTTTTTTTTTTTTTTTTTTTTTGGCCCTCTTGCATGCTTAAATTACCATGCTATTACCCTGCCCTGTATAAAAGTGGAGACAGAAACCTGGTACGTCCTCCTGATGAGGTACTACAGACAATTTTGTGCTCGTGGCTTTGCATATGCATCGTTTGTGACAGAGCAGCTATGGAACGCAGCTTTACAGAGACAGATGAGACTTCTCCCAAGAAAAGGCTCCATGAGACACGGAGCAGTCTGCTCAGTGAAAAWAGTGCCATCCTCTTCTAGGCTCGGGGCCGGTGAATTCTGACCTTCGACAGAGCTGGGTGTCCAAAAGAGCTTGGTTCTGACCTGACTATGCGCTGCTGAAATCCATAGGATAAAAGCAGCAATGTTGGCTTGGCCAGAAAAATTTCAGAGGATCCATCTCCTTCCCCTCCATTTGCTGTGGTTGCTCCTCAGCTTCCTGCACTACTAGGCTGGTTGCAGGTGATGGCAGCCCYGTGTCCCTTTTTGGATGAAAACAAAGCCTTTCTGATAGCTGCAAAGTAAACAAAGTCTTACCTCCCCCTGGCTCTCAGGGGTTAARCCAGATACGAATTACGTGTAGGATTTATGCCAGTTCTCTGCCTAGGTAAGATTTTCACTCATTGGATGTAGTAATAACTTTTTAAAAGAGGAAGAGTTGTCCTTTAATGAAAGGAAAATCTACAGTTTTCATTCCCGAATGATTCTGAATCACTTACCTGAAACTGAAATGTGACAGTTTCCATATGCATAAAAAGAGGAAGAAAAGTTTCTCCTGCTTCTTGCTTAGTGTCTTGATGAGTTTTTTTCACAGTGTACTGAATAATGATCCCATTTTCAAGATGATTTGCTGTCTTTCATTCATGATAGTTCGATCTTCATGCATATGGATAACTGCAAGGGCTAGATCCTCTTGCATTTTAAAGAGAGACTGGAATAACATCCCTGAAATCCACTTTTTTGTTTGTGTTTTCACTGGTGTAATTGAGATGAAAATGTGCCCCTTGGTCTCTCTTTCAGTCATTCACGGTGACAATTTGTAATTGCTGAATTTGCTGCTTTTTAATCTGCATTGATTTTTCTGGTAGGGCAATAAAGTGCCAGCATCCTGGCTCAAGAGCTACGCCACAGTCGATGCTCCATTGAGCAAGATCCCCCTGTTCCTGCGTGGAGGCTACATCCTGCCCACACAGGCACCGGCCACGACAACAACTAGGAGGTAACTTGATTCTCCACGTCAGCCAGCACGCAGGCAGGCTTAGTGGGCAGCTCTCCCAGAGTATGGGATAAATCACGGGCAGGGTCACCAAAGAAGGGGAAACTTGTCCCTACAAACACTCGAGAGAGAAATTTTGCATGGAAGTGGGTTGAGGCAACGTAGTTTTTTCTAATAAATTCAAGAGGTATTTTGGTAAGCGCAGCTGCCATTCTTTTGTCCTTTTTTGTGACCTTAAATCTCTTTTGTCAACAGCCGTCTGAACCCATTTGGGCTCACTATTGCACTGGATGACCAAGGAGAAGCTTCTGGGTCGCTCTTCTGGGATGATGGGGATTCGATTGGTAAGTTTGGTTCTCCTGCTGTAAAACAGGGTAAGAACAGGATTCCCTTTACAYCAACTTAGCTGCAGAGTAATGGCATTGGCTCCTGCTAGCAGTAGCTGGAGAAAGGACTTTCAGCTGGATATTACAGAGATGACCACAATGCTCATGAAGTCAATGCTGCCATAAGGGAAAGGTGTGACACTGGGCACAGTTTGGCAGCCAGAAAGGGGAGTGATTGGCTTTCTGTGCCCCTGAGATCATACAAAGAGTAAAGGAACTTATTAAATAACCCACAAGTCATCATAGTCTGATATGAGCTGCTCACTACAACTGATGGGAACTGCTTCTGGGTTTTGCTGCTTGTTTTAATATCAATCACCTTTGCTCTGTGTTTTGACAGATTCTATCGAAAATGGAATCTACTTCTTGGCTAAATATACGTTCAAAAATGTAAGTAGCAACATACAAAGCACATTCTGTATTGTAATAAAGTTACTTGAAAGTACTGATATCTAGCTTTTTATCTGAAAAGCTTTTTGTTTTTTCATATAACACAGCAGGTAGTCTTTTAAAACAGCATACTCCATAATGTTGTCATTTACAGACTGCTACAAAATAATGAAACTATGATGCTGCAGTTTTGTATTTGCTTCATTGGGTATCACAGTGGTACCTCAGTAATGGTTTTGGTGCCAAGTGATTCTGAGTCCTCAGGGGTCCTGTTTTCCCAAGTCCCTGCTTCTGGGGATGAGGGACTTCCTTCTTGTCTTCCTCCTGTGAATGTTTTAGTCTGAATGGCGAGAGAGGACTGTGTTCCTGTCTTCAGGATATCCCAGCAACTTTCTAACTTTGGTCACATGAAGCTTGTACTTAGTAGTCCCGAGAATTACCTGCTCTCATTTCTTTAGCATTTCCTCGTCGAGGTTGCTCCCGTGGCTGGTATCCCAGGGAGTGACTCAGCAAGCTGCTGCAGTGCTCATCAGATGCCACAAGCAGCACAGAAGTAAATTAACCCAGACTGYGCACTAATGCCTTTCACCTCAGGCTTGCTCCTTGCAGACATCTCTTGAGAAAGCTGAATACACAAACTCAACACTCTAGGCTTCAGTTGAGAAAAATAAATATAAGCAACTTACAGTAAGTTGAAAGAATTAGTGGAAAAAATACCTAACCTACTGCAGCGATCTGTACAGGTCAYATTTCACCTCCAGTGCCAGTATCTGGTGGGAAATATTCAGGATATAATACATATACTATGTCATAGTTTTCATACTATGTATTCTTAAAAGCCCAAAAGCAACCTATAGAAAATCTTCTGAAGAATAAGATAATGTTAATCCCTACTGTGATATTGCCCTTAGAATGTGTTCCAAGAGTGACAGCAGGTCATAGTAAGCTGATGGCTGTTATTCCATAGTTTTATATACTGGAGGGATATTTTCCTGGAAGTAATGCTGCATGTTTAAATTTCCTTTTTTTCTCCTCTTGATTTACTGAGAGGAAAACTTTCTTCTTCAAAAACTGATCCTTCAGGTATAAGAGGAAGGAAAGAAAGAAAAATCACTTCAGATTTCTGTAGTCTGCTTGCAATATATTGCTATACATGGACTACAAATAAAGAATATTTAGTTTTCTGTTAAATTCCAGTATGTACAAATTAGGTTGCCAATTCACTGATACTTCTACTTCTCATTGCTCATATTTGATTTCTGTCTAGAAATCCATGACTGAAGTCTTTATCTGCATTCCAATCTGCATTCTAATGTCAAATATTTATTATGTGTTTATAGAGAAAAAAATCTCAAATAACAAACTAAAGAACTATGAGAAATATATGAGAATTTGGTATATGTTGCACATTTTTATAATCTTAAAAAATTAGGCCTGAAGAATTTACTTCCACCAGATTTTAGGAGAACGCACAAAATTTTGTCCGTGAGAGTTTCACTGACAGTTGTAAGGTCTGACACCACAGCGTTTCCTCAGAACCCAGTATAGAGCTTTGAATGGGTGACAACTACAGGGTTAAACCCTCTCATTTGTATTTTAATTTTAAAAACAAGAAGCACTGAGAGGAATTTGAGACTAGTGTAGGCACTTAAGTCTTAGAGAACAATTCAATCTGCCTGCTGTCAGGCACCGTCTCACTGCAGGAGGTATTTTACATCATTTTGACACTTTCATTTCGGCACGCAAAACTGTTGAGAGATCTAAGTCAAGCACCTATACACTAAGATCCTTGGTCTAGAAATGCATATGAGCCTGATGTATAAAATCAACTATACTTGAGGGATAACTTGATCAGGGAGACTCCAGCCTCTGCCTCCAGCCCCAGTGGCAGCAGACAAGGTAGGAACACTTGGATCATGCCTGGTGCATTCGGGCTGCACTGAAGGAATGGTGGCAGGAAGGCTTGCTTTTGGCCTGCATGTATTCCCAAATATCACACTTGCCCAAGGAAACGGGGGCTTCCGAAGCAATTTGCTAATCACCCAGCAACTGAGCATCCTGAGAGCAAGTCCTTCCTCCTAAAACTGGTCCAGTTTTTGGAGAAAAAAACAATCCAAAAAAAGAAAAACACGAGGAGCATAGAACCAGAGCAAGAGGCTAGCAAAGAAAACTCATGCCTTTGCAACTCAGAAATGAGGAAAAGGAAGCAGTCCTGGGGGTGCCTGAAACAAGCAATCGTAGCACTCTCTTAGGTTGCAAATACTGTGATCTACTTTCTGCTTTGCTCCCTGCCATGCACCACTGAAATAACATAAGCTAATATATGCAAAAGGTTCCTTTGTGGGTTTCTCCTTGGCATATTTTTAAAAAGTCATGATTGAATAGCAATTCATCATTTCCTGAGCAGTGTAATTCATCTTTCTTTCCTTAATACCTTTGATCGCATAACAAATGCAGTGATTCCTCTTCATTGTTTGTGGAGAATTACTGTCTCTGGCAGCATAAATGAATTTGTTTAATGACTTTGTGTGTCCCCTTGGTGCATCCCTAACTGCAGGATAAACAGTGAATGAAAGGTGTAACAAAGTTTTGTGAATATACCGTGTTGCTTCAGTGTCTTTAACGTGAACATATTTATAATGGATTTCTACCAGGAGATGTAGAGATGCCGTGCTTAAAACAGGGGCATATATCTAGCAACCTATGTTTGTGCAAGACATTAATGTTTTAAAACCATTAGTTGCAGATGTTAATTAAATCTGCCTTAAGGCAACTTGCTGAATCTCTGTATCTAGATTTTGGCATTACAGATGCCACTGTATCCTATAAAAGGCCATAAGAAACAAATTTGCATTGATTAGAAGTAGAAAAAACATGCCCAAGCAGATTCCAAATAAATATGGTAAGTGCTATTACATTGCCTGCCTTGTTGGATTACAACAACGTGCCAAGCCTTTCTCATGTGAAAATTACTGTATCAGCTATTCTTTTTCCTTTATTCTCTTAGGCTTTAATTAGCAGATACTCTAAATATTTGGTAACAAAAATGAGTCTACAACAGTAATAGCATTCAGTAAGCCAAAGAGTTGCTATGATCCTAAAATTTTCTCTCTGACTTTTTTTTTTCCTAGGGAAAACTGAGGACAGAAATAGTTCATAACGGCTACCGAGGGGCTGACACTCTGAAATACAACACAATTACCATCCTTGGTCTGAAGCTGAGGCCTCATGCCATTGCTCTGAATGGAAGGGCTGTCCATGGAGCTGCTTTCTCTTACCAGTCAAATGGGGTAAGAGCTACACTGAGGAATTAGCAGCAATCTTAGGGGTGTGAGGATAGTCAACAGGCAAGAGTAGCAGTTTTTCATCCAAGTATGAATTTCCAAGCATAATTAGCATCAATCCTTGCATCAGAGTCTGAGTTTTAGGGGAAAAAAGATTGCAACAGCAAGAGCTATAGGATTGGTGTTACAGGAAAGTAATAATAATTGCAATAACATACATGCACTTTCAGTCAGTGTCAGCAACTCATACAAATGAGTTTTTGTGGACATTAAAAAAGAGTTAGCTCCATATGAGAAACATTAGTTGTTTATAGGCATTATTAGCACTCTTGAGAAAACCTGTCCAAGTCATTTAGCAGCTACAGAGAAGAATTAGTGGAGATACTTTATTGCAATTCAACATACTTAGCATGCAAGAATGGGTCTAAGAAAGCTACTTTAGAGGACTTCCATATCTTCAGGAGAAAGCAAGGTGATTCTTTCCTGTATGCTCATGTTTCTTAAGGAAACTTTTATAACAAAGATACAAGAGTTACAGTTTTAGTGTCTTAAAGTGGGAAGCCATCTGCCCAACCTAGTGTTATCTGGAATGTCCCAGATAAACATCTAGGGAAGCAAAGAGAAGAGAGATTCTCTCTTAGGCTAAGAAATGACCATAAAAATTATGGCTAGTGGTCATGGATGCATGTAGACCACCAGCCCTGATCTGATATCAAAGCATCAGGATAACAACATGAGAAATGGCAGGACAGTGCTGGTAATGGAGGAGAAAAGTAGCCAACCTCTGCTCACGGGTAAGTTATAGAAACAAGAGGAGAAACTAATGGATATTACAGGTAGTGAGAGGGGAGAGTTGGCAATGACCCTAGAGAGAAAGTCCTTGAAAGACAGTGAGAGAGCTTACAGGGGTTGCTGATGAAACAAATTATCAAAAGCACCAGTTCAGTGTGTAAACTAATGGGGAATGGCCAACGGGGAAAGCATTGGAAGCAGATCATTCATTTAGGAGAGGGAAAAGGGGAATATACGACAAAGAGAGAGGAAACCACATGTTGAGGGCTCCTGGGGGATGTCTGCCCAGCAGCCTTGCTCTTGGTCAGCCCAGCCTGAYGCTGGACACTATGATTGCTCTGTTTGGACTAACGTGCATGGCTCCCTCCTCTTGTCCCCATCTACCACCAGCCGCCAAGCTGAAGTTCATCTTGCACCACTGTGTGCATGTGGCACTCAAATTTTAGCACCAGTTAGTGCCTGTGAACTCCCAATATTAATATTGAAGAGAAAGAAGATGCCAATAATTCATCTCTGAATCACAGATAGATAGCTGAGGCAACAAGTAATAGGCG